CTTGCTTTGTATATTATTATTATTATTATTATTATTATTTTCTTATTATCATCATTACTATTTTACTTCATTTAAATTATTAAACTGTTCTTATCTCAGCCCAGGAGTGTTTCTCACTCTTACTCCTCCGATTCTCTCCCCCATCCCACCGGGGTAGGGGGAGTGAGTGAGTGGCTGCGTGGTGCTTAGCTGCTGGCTGGAGCTAAACCACGACAGGGGGGAACCCAGTCGTTCAGATGATACATAATCCTTTCTCATCCTATTTCTAACACCAGAAAAACCCATTTAACTCAATAGAACCTTGAATACAGAGTTGGTCTCTCCTTCCTCATCAGGCTTATCAGTTTAATTTAGATGTGCCCAAGATTTACCAGCTATTTATGGAAAATAAAATACCAACTGATCTTTTGAGATGTAGTCTGCTTCTTCCTAATGTTATGGCTTTTCAGATGCACTCAGAATTTGGGGCAGATGATCTGTGATTATATCTCATGACTAGATACAGTCCCTTGATTACAACTTCTTGAAACCCACGTAATTGAGATGGACTTCTGAGTCTGATAATCTTATAATGTAAGTAGTGACTACTCAAGGAAGACAGGGGAAGAAGGAAGGAATAAAGTATTTACTTAAAAAAAAAAAAAACCAAAATCAAAAGAACAACCAACCAAAACAAAACAAAAACCCACTCACTGGTATTAGGATTCTCCATAATTGTCCAGAATAAAGTTGAGATTTATTTTTGGATTAGTCTCCTTTGCAAATCTGGAGTTGACCATTAGGGATTTAAATGAATAAATAGGAAAAATACGCTTTTTGGCAACAGCAAGGAGCTGAGCAGCACAGGCACAGTGAAGTCTGTGAAATAATTTTCTCATAATGAGTGTTTTAATCTTGGTGCTGTGCAGGAGGGAAGGCTCAGTTTGGGGGTAATTCTTGGGAAAGTAAATGACATCATAGGCTGTCATATACAGGATGATCCCCCTTCACTAATATGAATGATATATTTTAGCAGCCTAATTTTCTTTCAGCACCTTTCCTGTGTCATCCTAATCTTTGGATACGTTATGGTGCAGTTGGATTTATCACCGTGGTAGCGCAGTATTTGAATATTGCTGATGTCTACTGCAAGCTAATGCCATACCTCCATCCTTTTATCACACAACCAATAATACAGGTAATACTTGAAATAATATTAATGTGAATATATCTTGACTAGTCATAATTCTTAAGTCTGTTGTGGCCATGGTCGTGGCTATAAGGACATTAGAATTTTTTTTTTTCAATTAAGGTTAGAGGTGATACAGTTTTTTGATATCTGCTGTCAAGACATTGACAGAATGGCCATTGCCTTCCATGTTTGAAAGGCTGTTGTCTCAAATTTTTTGCAAATTGCAGAGCGTTTTACAAAGATTAAATCAACAGGTATGTCTTTGGTTCAAGCCCTTCTCTGCCTTGTTTACAATGAAACTCTTGCAATATTGTGCTAGTTTATTGGAGTCTAAAAGGCGTGAAAAGTTGGCTGTGAAACAAGTGTTTCTGTGTTCTGTGCTTTCATCTACAAGACTGAGTATTCCAGCCCTGCCCCGCTAACACATATGACTGTGGGCCTGACCCTCTGAAAACAGGAGCAGTGTGTTAGGTAGCCATTACCATGCTTAGGATTTCAGCAGTGTTACTCCTGTGATTCAGTGCTTTGCCAAGGGTAAGGGCAGAGTGCTCAGCATGAATCAGTTAAGTCATTTCATAACAGCACGTGTCTAGGAATGACCTGCATGATGCTGGTAATATGTTCATATAGGCATCTTTGCATATAAGTTTAGGGCCTGTAGAATGCATCTCTTGGGTGTTTAAAAGGGAGAGAAAATCTGATATGACCAACACAGGGAAAGATTATTTTCATGAAAGGAGAGAAGTTGAATCTAGATTATTGACACAATCATGTGCAATAATTTTTAAGCCCTACATGATTTTTGTTATTGTGAGTTTGAAAGCATCTCTTCAGGACTGAGCTGGAAACTGGTTTTTAGAACATGCCTTCAGAGGAAGAGATTGATTTTCATATTAATTTTTGCAGTTGTCCATTACTGACTTTCAGGCTGGGGAAAAAAATAAGTGCAAACATTGTAGACATGAGATGACAACATGTATGCTAGATTCCCCATGTTTATATGGATATCATCCTCCTCCATGTTGACTGGTCTCTCTTTTTGAATTGCAGATAGATAAAGAAATAGTCCTGCTAAGTGTACTTAAAGACCCTGTCAGCCGTTCCATATTTGATTACGTCTTAAGATCAAAGGATATCACAAACCTCTTCCGACACCTTCAGATGCGTCAGAAGAAGAGGAATGGTGCTCTCCCTGACTGCCCACCCCCAGAGGACCCTGCCATTGCACAGCTGTTGAAGAAGCTACTTTCACAAGTGATTGTTTTTTATTTGCACTTTGAAAGTCAGGCTTGAGATTCTTGGGCTCTGTATGTCTCCACAGACCCTAACCTTGCAGTTGCTGTTCTGAGGGACTCCCAGTCTGAGGTTCTGATCCTGCACACCATTGACTTAATTGATTTCAGTACATGCTCATAGGACAAAGAGTTCAGAAGTTAAGGAAGATTCTGAAAAGATCTGCCAGAAATAGGGCAACCTCATGTTTGGATTTCCCAAATACATCCTCTTTTTAAAGACTTCATTTGTATGTCTCAGATTTCTGACATCTGTGATGGTATCAGTGTTACAGAATATGTGCTACGTATTGTGTTGGAAAGAAGAGTATGCATTTGTTGGAGAGACATGCGAGTAACAATGCAAAAGCCAAAGGGAGCTGGAAAGTGTTGGGGCTTATATGTGAAGAGGGGAACACTAAGAATCACCCATACAAAGCAGTGAGAACTGGGAAGAGGAAAGACTGCAGCTGAGTGTGTGCGTGTGGTTTTTTAGTGGGGTTTTTCTTCCTCCTTGGTTTTTTTTTTTTTCCTATGGCTTGTGAGCTGTAAGCATGGCCTAGGTGGCAACAGAGCAGATTGCACCAGACAGTGATCCAATATTAAATACTATTCTGCCCTTTCACTATTCCTAGCCTTGTTCCTGAGGGGAAAAGATATTCTTACACTACAGCAGCTTACCCAAAGTCTTGTATGAGTGACAGACTGGTGTCTTGAATTCTGGGGATGTGCTTCCACTTCTGAGCCAGTCATTAATCTTACTGCTTCTTACATCTTTGTGCCTTGATGCATGTTCTTGTTCAAAAGTAAATAATAATATCTTTTCTTTTATTCTGCAGGGGATGACTGAGGAGGAAGAAGACAAACTGTTAGCACTGAAAGACTTTATGTTAAAATCAAATAAAGCTAAAGCCAATATCGTGGATCAGAGCCACCTGCATGACAGCAGTCAGAAAGGGGTGATTGACTTGTCAGCTCTGGGAATAACTGGGAGACAAGTGGATCTTGTTAAAACAAAACAGGAGCCTGATGATAAACGTGGTTGGTATATTTTGTGGTCTGTATGGATAAAGTACAGCCTTTCAGCATCAGAGAATTAAGTCTAATTATTCAGCAAGTGTTCTCAGTAATTCAGCCTACATAAGTATCACCATCCTCACTTAGTTTGCAATAAGAAAATTACTGCTGCTATTTGAAATGTGAAGTGCTGGAATGCTCTCTGGATCAGTGAAAGATGGGGGTATTTTGCCCCTGAGAGTATTTAAATTAGTTTGACTGCCTTTGCAGTAGTAATGTGCACAGGTTGTTTAGCTGATTGTGACAAACAGGACTCTAGTGACCCATGGTAACAGTGTAAATTATGAATGCTACATTTCTGCTATCTCTGTTTCCTCTCAGGAAGTGATGAGCTCTCTAACTGTGAAAATCCAAGATTTTCCTCCAGCCTGGAGGAAACTGAGGCTTAGGTGTGATGCTGAAACAGGCTGGTACTGAGCAGTGCCAACTGTTGCTCACCCACCAAGTACCTGCTTTTTGACCTTAGGGTTCTTCAGCTGCTCATCCACTCCCATTTTACTTTGTTGTCCTCTCCTCTTTCAGCTTGAAAAGCCTCTTATATTTACTTGTTCAGCTTTGAAATCCACTTGCTGCTAACTGTATTCCAGTTCTCTGTATCCTCAAAATTCTTTTCTTCCAGGCAGTGAGCTTCCTCTTTGCTCTGTCAAGCTTGTAAGGCCCTTCTCTGTAAACCACTGATACGTTCTGTGTTTCAGATGTAAAAATACAGAAATATCTGCAAATCAGGTAGCTATTGCCATCTTATTTACAGAATTAAGATGCTCGTCTGCAAATATTTTGCATATCATTTTAAAGGAAAGTACATAAGTACAGGATTTTCTAGTTTTTTGCATCCTGGGGAGTCAGGAGTGGACAGGATTTAAAAGCTGGTATATGAAGTCTGTATTTGAACTAGCTGACTTCACCCAAAACTGTCACTTGCAAAGTCTTAATGCCTTTAACTTCTTTGCTGACTCTGTCCAAATTTAATTTGTCCCATGTTTTCATTTCACTTTTCATATTTTACAGTTTTAAGTGACTCCAGAGGAATGCTGAAAATAAATGTTTCCTATTTACAGATAACGTTCTTGAATCTACAGGTGATGTTGTGATTGTGATGGAAAACTGATTGTATTTGACACTGACAATGATTTGCTTATGCCAGTAGTGGAGTAACTCTCATAAGAAGAATATATCATGTGGAGTCTAATCCTGCAGCCTTCTAGACACAAAATTTCCCTGTACTGGAATGATTTATTGCATGAGTCAACTGTAGGATTAAGAAGGTGTAAACAGAGCACTTGCCATGTGTGTTCTGTTTGCCTCATAAATACCTGTCAGCTGGCTTAAACAACCTAGCAGTACCTTTTTCTCTGTTAAATATATAAATAATAAATTGGCATGTAAACATTGGATTCACATGTACTCTGAAAGTAATGACCAGCCTGAGTGAATGTTGTCATGAATATGGGTTTTCTTTTTTTTTTTTCCTCTCCCTCCCCTTCCTCCCTCACGATTTGCTTATAGCTAGAAAACACGTAAAGCAGGATTCAAATGTAAATGAAGAATGGAAAAGCATGTTTGGCTCCCTGGAACCAACTAACATCTCCCAGCCAATACCCAAAGGACATGGGCAAACTACTGATCCTGAAGCCATCCAGGCTGGGAAACCACTTCGTTCCGAGTCCTCAGCTGGCATTTGTGCCACTTTGTCATCCTCCCCACAGGTATTGCTGAAAACTACTATCTTTGCATCTTAAACTGAAACAATTCAATTGTTTTAAAGCCAAGTGGGACTACAGGGATGTGGCATTCTTGTTTTGTTTGGAGGCTATTTTACACTGGTGCTGTTCCCTGGTGTCTTCTCCAGCAGAGCAGCTGACTTTCAAGTTCTTATTTTTAAAATAGGGATTGAGAGAGGATGGAAGTAAGTTTAGTCACTTGAACAGAACAGCTTCACTAACAAATAGATGCTTTGCATGAAAAGATGGGGCTTTGTAGATTAGCCAGTTATTAGCTAAGCTGTTCTGGCAGGGAAGACTTTACCTCAAATTCCATGCTCTGATGTGTGTTGTAAGGAAGAGGAGAGATGTCATGATTTTAGCTTGGAACTGGTGTATCGCATTATAGCTGCATTTTGACATCCCGTACCTGTAATACTTAGTACTGCCTACAGGCTCAGAGCTCTGCAGGCTGTGGAGGCATCTCTTGACACTGAAAACTTCTTTCTATTCTGTTTCTAGTTGGAGATTAGCTGCTGCTATTTAAGTAAGTGTCCACCCTGAACTAAGAGGGAAACACTTCACACTCTTATTTTTAAAGCCAAATATAAATGAATAATAGTTTTGAGAGCTAGCTTGTAATTCTGTCAGTCTTGAGAGCAATAACTGCTTCTGTAATAATCCCATTAAGAGGTGTGCATGCCACGTTACAGTTTCTACAAAAAGAATACAGAACAGACTAGGCAAACAGGGTAGAGTAAGTGAATGGTTAAGCTTTTCTATAATAATTTTCACTATTTTTAATTGTTTTCATGCAAGCATGATATTTTTTAATGCTAATTCATTGCTGATTGATTCAATAAAAAAGATTTTTCCACTTTTCTTCAGGGTGACCCAGTAATCTTAAGAGCAGGATTTATCTGTGCATGGAGTGTAAGGCATATATTTTTAAGTGCTTATCTCTTACAGGCATCTGATGGAACAATTGTTCAACCCCGGAAACCAACCATACAGGTACTGAGCAGTACAGCGTCCCCATCTGCACACCAGTTACGCATCACCACTTGCAAAACTGAACTTCAGCAGCTGATCCAGCAGAAGAGAGAACAGTGTAATGCAGAGAGACTTGCCAAACAGATGATGGAGAATGCTGAGTGGGAGAGCAAGCCCCCACCTCCAGGTAAATCACAGGCCAATGAGGTCATTATACAAAAAAATATATATATATAATTTGAGTCAAAACATCATCATCTCAAGGAAAAAATGCAAAAGATGAGGAAAAGAGGAAATCATTAGTTTAGGAAATGTGCCCGCTATGCAGAACACCTATTTGGCAAAATACATGCATGACCTCTGAAAGAGGCTCTGGAACCTAGACCTTGCAGTAATGGACCCAGACTACTGGTCTGAAGCCCAGGTTGTGCGCTCTGTTCCACTGAGTTTTCTGAAGCGGGTTGTTTGTAACCAGGTATATGGCAGATAACTTGCCATCCTGTAACAGCCTGTAGCTTGGTTGGGGCAAGGGGAGAAACACTGTGCCAGGAGGTGAGAAATGTATTTTTCCTGGGGTGGCTCCAGATTTTCAGCCATCCCGTGAGTGTTGTAACCTCTTGGCTACGTTTTCTTACCCAGTGGCATGCATACTGGGGTGGGCTGTTTGAGCTGCCCTTGTTTACAAAGGAGCCTGTCCCCACCAGCAGTGGTGACGGTGACACAGTGCCCAGCCACAAACAGGAGATGTGTATTCTCATACTACATTGTTGCTTTCAGAGGGGAAGGAATTCTTACCTCTTGTTCCTTCTTGTTCCTCCCTGATAGCCAGCACCCAGGTTTTGCTGATTAGGACTCTGGCAGAAACATACCATTTTAAATTACAGCCATCTTCCTATGGCCACAGCTTAAATTTTGAAGCTCCAAATTGAGATTGAGATTTACACAGATTAGTCCTCAGCATTTTCTGCTGGTGTTCTCCACTCAGTGTGCTTGTTGCTGGGTATCCCATATGGAGATTTCTGACTGGCCTCTACTAATGGGAGTTCATGAGCTTAACTTCCAGATGTTGAGAGCAGAGTCTGTATCAGCTAGGCTTGCAGTATTCAGCGTAGTGATGCTAAAGTCTTTTGGTAAATCTAGCATTAAAAGTACACACCTGGGCATATACAACTACTGTGTCAATTTAAGGGAAGTAGTAGAAAATCATCAGGAAAATGATCCAACCATATAGCATTTGAACACAGCTAACCTTGACTGAGCTTGGCTAAGCCATGTTTTTGTCTTCTGAAGAGAGTTTTACAACCCATGAAATAACATGTCCCAATACAAGCAGGTGACCTGCTCTGCCACACAAGTGAGTGCCAGAAAAATGTTCATATTTAAAGTTTGTGTCTTAGCTGAAATTTGCTGTGGTCTGTCCTTCATTATCTTCATCTGCTGTTAATCCTTCACTAAAGTAGATGCCTGTTAGAAGTGCAGCCGGATACTTCTGTGCTGCTTATTTCAGAGGATAAAACATCATGCAAATGTTGGCAGTTACTTGGCAAGTTATTTCATGGCAGCTCAACTCCTCAATTTTTGTTTTGAAGGACTGGAGTAAATTTTCTATGGGATTTAGAACAGCTATTATTTCATTTTACTAGGTATGTAAGGCTGACAATGTAGCATGTAGTGCATCACTGAGCCTGTCAGTTCAAGCACTCTACGGACATTCCAGGAACTTCAGTCTGTTCAAGTGTGTTGCTCATTATGTGCATTTTGGGCATTTATGGGATTGCCATTTGCAGCACAGCAATCTGCATGCTGATAGCAGGAGAACTGTGCACTAGTATCTCTACAAAGTCTATGAAGAAGGGCTCTTTGTAATTTCACTGAATGTATATGGAACCCATCTAAAAGAAAACTTACCTGGATCTGCCAAAAGAGTTTAGTTTAGAATTGAGCAAATAGGCTTTTGCCTTTAATATTTAAAATGCCCTAGCTCTGCGTTTTGAGTGCCTTCTGTGCTTTGCAGTTTTAATGACTGTATCCCAATATAGCTGTTGGTGGATGGGATCAGGGAGATTTTCATGTTCCTAATTAGGTTATGAAATCAACACCATACTTCATGGTTTTGTTTTTCCCTGTAGGATGGCGTCCCAAAGGATTGTTGGTAGCTCACCTTCATGAACACAAGTCTGCAGTGAACCGCATTCGGGTCTCTGATGAACACTCCATTTTTGCCACTTGCTCAAATGATGGCACAGTGAAAATCTGGAACAGCCAAAAAATGGAAGGAAAAACTACTACAACCAGGTAGCTTTAAAACGCATGGGATTTTGGGGCTGCTGTTTTAGAGTGCAAAATAAAGTAGAGCAGGGAGCAAAATATGAATCACTTGTGGGTGTGCTGGAGATATCAATAATGAAATACACTGGTGTTCCTCTTAGCATGCAGCTATAAGATAGTAGGTTGGTGTTTCAATTACTTAATAAAAGAAAAAAAAATTACTGGCAAATGCAAAGGGACTGCTTTGCAATTGTAGTAATTACAGGCTTTTTGATTTCATTTCTATACATACATAAATATATTCTGGTGCTGCTGTTTAAAGCCATCTGAGTTTTTTGGAACAAATTAGCTTTACGCTTAACTGTCTCATCCACTGATATTTGATGCAGGAAAGCTGTATTGCTCATTAAAACACAGGTGGTATGATATCCTACTTTGATACAGATCTAGGTCAGACTTCTATTTTACTGATAGATATATGCTTCTGCAGTTGGAGACTGTCATAACCTAGAGGCTCAAATATGGAGAGTTAAGCTTGCAGAGGTAACACAGGCTTTGTTGCTTTCTGATTTTGAAACACTTAGAAAATACTATTTTCAGAGCTCTCTCAGGAGCCATTGGTTTTAAGTAGGTTTTTGAGAAAAGCAAGTAATTTTTTTTAAAGTGCCACAAAGAAAATTCCTCTTTTTTTCCTCTCTTTTACTCTCTCTGTACTGTTTAGATCAATTTTGACATACTCTCGGATTGGAGGACATGTAAAGACACTTACATTCTGCCAAGGCTCGCATTACTTGGCTATAGCTTCGGATAATGGTGCCATCCAGCTTCTTGGTATTGAAGCTTCAAAGCTCCCTAAATCTCCTAAAATTCATCCAATACAAAGCAGGTATGTACTTAGAGCAGATAAATCTCACTGCAGAGCTCAAGCTGTTAGCATATTCCTCGATTAGATCCCTTGATTTGCTCTAGGCTTCCTGCTGGCTGAGCCTAGGGTGTACTGGAAGGCTGTAACCCATGATCTTATCCTGCTTCATAAAGGAGGATTGAAAGGCAACTGTGCAGGGCTGAGAATTAGTAGCTCTAGGTTATTGGTGCCTCCTATGTCACTGGACTCATTATAAGCTTGAAACAGTCAGTCTGAATAGTTCTCAATTTATGCACTGGGATTGGTAGTTTCTTACCTCCTCTGTTACAATATTAATACTTATAAAGTAATTCTGGAGATTCTTTTGCGTGTCATTAAATGAACGTTTACAAATGTACTACGTGTGGTTTGGCCTCAGGCATGCAAATTTTTCTGCTAGGCTTTTAATGTAAGGTGGCAAAGATATGGGGGATGGGATACTATTTAGGGGGGTCTTTGGGGGTGGTTTAGCTCTTTGTTACCTCTCTCCATGTGAGCAGTTTTTGAATACTTGGCACTGATTCAACAGCTCAATCTTCCAGCTTGAGTGAGGGACATGTCCAGGCCCCAGCAAATCTAGCAACCATCTCAGACCTCTTTTCTGTCCAAAGTAAAAGTAAGGTGTCTGTCTCACATGTCCCCTCTTATTTGGGATTAAGTTCAGAAATGAAATAAACCAAATCTAATGGAGATGGAAACTACAAACCAGATTTTCCCTTTTGGTATACGCTGCATTTGTGCCGGAAGAAGGTGTCCATTTGCACACACAGTAAGAGATTGATGACAGTGCTGGCAGCGTAACATGGAGAGGGGTGTTCCTGCCTGAAAACTCTGGGTAGATGAATATCTGATAAATGTGGAGCATGAATGGGAGAGAAATATCAAACATGCTGAGAGACCTAGAGCACAGAGCTATGTTTATGTTCGCAAAGAGCTGCTGACAGCATTTTTCCAGCTTGTAGAAGGCTTGCAGGTCCTACTGGCAGAGAGATTTGAGAGAGCATAAGCATCTGTTGCACTAAAATTGGAAAGTTGTTTCTGGCAGATGCCTTGAGAAGTGACTTGAAGAGGAAAATGCTGCTCAGCATTAGCTATTGAAAGGAGTCTTAAACTTGGAAGGAGTCATATCTGGTTTTTAAATTAGTTTATTCTTTTAACTCAGGTCCTTAGATCTGAAGGATGATGGCTGCGTGGTAGACATGCATCATTTCAATTCAGGAGCTCAGTCTGTACTGGCTTATGGTACAGTTAACGGATCTCTGGTTGGATGGGATTTGCGATCTAGCAGCAACGCTTGGACACTGAAACATGATTTGAAATTAGGCCTCATAACTTCATTTGCTGTGGACATACACCAATGCTGGCTGTGTATTGGTAAGCCTGTATTTCTTGTTAGCTTCTCTCTCTCTCTGTGCTCCCCCTCCTGGTTTTCTTTTAGAATAACCATAGCTCAAGCTTTTGCTTGATCTGATTTGACTAGATTATGCTTTCCTCAAACAAGAGGAGAGAAATACCTCCTGATCTATTTGTGGGAAGTATCCTGCCCTCTAAGTGCTTGAGGCTGAAGTCCATCTTCCTAGGAACAGAGCACAAGGATATGGGCAAAAATCTGTATATTTATCCCTCTGACTACGGGGAGCTTTCTCTCACCAGGAACCAGCAATGGTACCATGGCATGCTGGGACATGAGGTTTCAGTTGCCTATCTCCAGCCATTCTCACCCTTCCAAGGCCCGAATCAGACGCCTGCTCATGCATCCTGTCTATCAGTCCTGGGTAATTGCAGGTAAAAGATGTCTTAAACTTACCTCACAGTTGCCAGAGGTTGTGATTAAAGCAGCTTCTGTCTCAGCTTCTCCTTCAAGCCCTGGGGGGAGTTTGTTTTTTTTTTTTTAATTCCCTGTAGCTTTTCTTGTGCTTTGCTTGGGGAGAGGAGAAAGGGAAGGTTGATACTTGTGTGCTGCCACTGTGCTTTTCCTGGTTTTTTGAAATTACGAAAGGGGCAGGGGAAGTAGAGTTAAGCCATTATGAGAACAACAGACAGCCTTTACAATTCTCATCTGAGCATTACAACTCTCATGAGGGTCCCTCCCTGTGTGCTGTCTACCACATCACTTTTTAAGGACGAAATGTTATAAAAGACATGTCGTGGTTTAGCCCCAGCCAGCAACTCAGCACCACG